TGGACTCCACATTACCGGAATCCGCGATGTAATTGTAAAACTGAAAGCCAAACTGACGAAACTTTCAGTTTTGTAACATTCAGTTGGACAGAAACAAGACTGAAAGCAGAGTTAAAAATTATTTAACTTTTCTGTTTTCGTTCCGCGCTTCTGTCGTACTGCAACCAATAAAAGCGCAAGGATTTGTGACGCGTAGTCACGTGCATTAGTCACGTGCTGTTTGATTGTCGTAATGGCGGAAAGTGTAGCGAAAACGATGAGAAAACAAATAGATTTGGAATTCTTCATCGAAGAAGTTAGAAAATAGATGTCTGTACGACAAAAAATGTAAATAATTCAAAGATTATTAACAATTTCATTGTTAATAAATGCAGAGGAAGCTTGGCAAAATCCGTAGCGTCGTCCATGTTTGACTCTACGACAATTACAGAACTGATCAACAGATGGCGCATTTCTAGTGGTGTCAACTTAAAACGAAAACATAACTGAAACGAAAACGCTATCGGGACATTCCAATATTCAACGCGAGTGTTGAGTGTTGAAGTCAACAATTTGACGTCATCAACAACGTTCCAACTCGAGTACGAAGTGCTTAGTTCCCATAATTCCATTCTCAGCAAGATGGATTCCATTCAAATGTCTTACCAATTACCCAAAATTCATTGGAAAGTAGCAGTCAACATATCTGTTGAGTGCTGAGTGTGTTGAGTCAGTGCTGACAACAGCGCTACCTCAACGTTGAAAAAAGGAACGAATTTTAACGAATGTTGAGATCAGCGTTGAGTCAGCGTTGAAAATTGGAATGTACCATATATGTTTCAGTTCTGTTTCTGAGTTTCTGGTTTCAAGTAATGTGGAGTCCAGGCTTTCAAAGCCTGGACTCCACATTACTTGAAACCAGACATGTGTATTTTCTAACTTCTTCGATGAAGAATTCCAAATCTATTTGTTTCCTCATCGTTTTCGCTACACTTTCCGCCATTACGACAAAAGCGCAATCAAACTACACGTGACTAATGCACGTGACTACGCGTCACAAATCCTTGCGTTTTTATTGGTTGCGGTACGACAGAAGCGCGGGACGAAAACGGAAAAAGTTAAATAATTTTTAACTCTGCTTTCAGTCTTGTTTCTGTCCAACTGAATGTTACAAAACTGAAAGTTTCGTCAGTTTGGCTTTCAGTTTTACGATTACGTCGCGGATTCCGGTAATGTGGAGTCCAGGCTTAAGACTCCACTACCGTAAAAACGGCGTAAAAACCCCTCGCCGAAAAACCTTTTAATCACGTGACCTATTTGCGTTTGGGCTCGGATTACGGTGGAGGTCCGGCTAGCGCGAGGTTTTTATGTCAACGGTGCTGCCCCAAGTGTCGAAAGTAAATACTTCTTCGCACGTGAATTGGTAGAAACGAAAGACGGTTGTATACGTGATATATCGATATAAAGACAATGATTATATTGTACGAGTTTTTTCTGTACTATAATTACAAATGTAGTAAAAATAATATCTTTACTTTAATATACTAACTTTTATTATCGTATTATTAAGATAATATACAGCACTTATAAGCTTAGCTTTTTTATTATATACTCCTCTAAATTGAAGGATTTCCTTTGGTATCCATTATTATAATCAGGTTACCTCTTGTCGTAGATACACGAATACTTTCGGATGTTTTCGATAAATCTTTTCGGATCTATTCTAGAGTAGCCACGAGGGAACGTACACAAAAGCTCGTTTTCCGCCATTTTACCTCCGTGCCGCGATGACCTAGATTTCACTGACTTCTGATTGGCTGAAGGTACCGTTTTACGGCCGTATTCGCGTCGAAAGTTGAACATAGCTCAACTCGCTTTTACGTTAGTTTTACGGCCTGCTCAAGCGTAAGATAACAGGGTCATGTGATTAAAAGCTTTTACGGCGAGGGGTTTTTACGCCGTTTTTACGGTAGTGGAGTCTTAGCCTTACAGTAGTTTATTTATTAGTTTCAATTTGTCTAATATCGCAATGGAAGGAAATTTTAAATAAAGGTATTTAAAATTTTGTGATTTACACATTATTATAAAGTAAGGTATAATAAAACATTAAACGTTAAAAATTTTAAAAAATACAAAACAACAGTTGTATTAATTAGAATAAACATCTCTTTTTAATTCGTTTCTCCCTTTTTTCATTTCTTCTCTCTTTCTGCCTTGTGGGCATTGAGGGCCTTTTTCCTACGCTCGTCGTGAGTTTGGCTAAGTTTACAATGGGCGGCCGAGTGGTGAGAGAGGAGACGGACACATTCGAGACGGGTCACCTCGAAAAATTCCCGGATTTAATCCAGGCTCTCCGGAGAGATGAGCTGACACCTTAAAGATTGTCTTAAATCAAACTTCTCTAATTAGAATTTCGTTGCAAACATTTTCTATTACGAGTGTATTGTATTTACATTGAATAAAATGGTACATTTTTATTGTAATAACTTATACATTCTTTACTGGTATATTCGTTTTATAAATTTATCTGTTTAATACCGTGTATAGGAAAACAGCAATGATTTCTTATATAAATTCGTTATTTTACATCACTTCGTTGTTATTTTTGCTGGATTCATTTAAAAAATTAATATAAATTTTTAAAATAAATTCAATTAAAACATTTTAATATAGGTTAACATATACTTTCAATTAAAGGCAGCGTGCATAATAACAAAATAATGTAAAATAACGGATTTATATAAGAAACTGATATTTTCATATATATTAAATATGGTACCTTCATTCAATGTCTACGTATTATATTCATAATTATTTCGCTATGGAAAGTTGTGATATTGGGAACTCAAAATAATTATTCCGCTGTTGAACGTCGTAATTGTTATGTCAAGAATTACTTCAATATAATGAAATTTTGGTATCGGTTCTCAATGTCAGTTTTAAAGAAAACTATTTAGGTTTTCAAACGCACACTTGGCGATGCGTTTTTAAAGAATTATTTCATTACTAATTATTTCAAAATTTATTTTATTATATACAGTTTAAAGGAATTATGAACACATTATATATGACCTACTTTAAAGCAACAGTGAAAGGAATCTGTAAGGGTGGGGAGTGCGTATCACCAGTAAGGTCAGACTTAATGAGATTCTATTCGATTAAAACCTATCCATACCCTCAAAATTAAGCTTTTTACCATTTTACATCGTTAAAAATATAAAAAGTTTTTAAATTAAATATGAGAACAGATGGCGTCACTAAATGTTGCCGGAAAAGTTAAGCAACTCGTTGCTGGATTTTTTTTTACTTATTTACATTTACATTATTTACATTATTACTTATTTACATTTATTTACATTACTTATAATGGTTATCATTAACATAGCTCGGTAAATAAATTATCTATAATTTAATGAAACTAGAATAACGAAAGGAAATCTCACCAGATTTTTTAAAATTCGAATACTTATCTAATAAATTAAAGGACAAATATGCAGTATTTCCAATAATTCTAATTTAAATTTCGATTAATAGAATATAATACGTTCCAGTATAATAAGGTTCGCTTACTCGACGGCGCCTCTACCGAGACTTAAGATTTATTTCTTAGTTTATTGTGATATTCGGATTCAATAAACTATTTTTTAGAATTTTCATCCAAACATTCAGTAATAAATTAATCATCAAAAATATAAAATATGATTTTCAATTTTACAATTAAGTTCTACATTTTTACAGGATTGGTAAATAATACAGATATAAATCGTGTGTTTGAATTTTAAAAAATAAATTAACTGGAAATATAATTATTGAAATAATGTTTATTGATAAGCTAGAAACCATTTAACAGTTTTAAAGATTATAATTTTTACAATCGCAAATTGCATTGCTTTCATTTATGAATTTACATTAGAATATTATTTTAAACGTTAAATATTTGCATTTTTAGGTTTTAATTAGTTCAGGTTCTACTATCTATTTTAACTGTTATAATATTTTTTTCAAGAATAGAAAACACAATCTCAATATTGCATAATAATGTTCAGGTCGGTTGAGAAGACCTTTAGCGGAATTTTCAAATCTACTTTATGTTACAGAATTATTGATTCTAAAAATACAAGTTACATCGTCAAAAGAAACGAGTTTTCAGCTTTTATAAAATTGTATTATTTTCTTAAATTATAATTAAGAGTTTCCATATTCTAAAATTAAAAAAAATATATATATATATCATTAGCTTTATTACATTTGAAAATTAGAAAAAAAAGAACAAATGTTTGCAACACAAGCAAAGATTAAAAATAATTTTCTTAATTAATAATAATTTCTCACAAACACGTGTAGCCGGACACGACAGTAGGATGGCCGAGGCGGTTAAATAGTCTACTGGCCCGGATTTGATCCCAAGCCAGCAGACCTAGGAATTTTTCGGGGAAGGGCAGTTTGTTTCGGATATGTTTGGTCCCGTCTCTCAACACCCGACCGACCGATTGTGAGCCTGGCCAAATCCGCGATGGGTCTGCGAAGAAAGCCCTCTTAGTGTCCTTAGGATGGAAACAACAAAAGTGAAAAACAAATACAGTAGACCCCCGATTATCTGAAACTTCGAATTATCGGAAACGGTCTTCAAAGTAAAAATTAAAAAATACTAGAACGTGCAACAATGTACAGACCACAGAGTATAATGCACAGAAATTAAATTCTCAACGTAAATGGAAATTACTACGTCATCTGACGATTTTAGCGCCATGAAACTAGGTCATATACATGTAATATTACGTTAGATTTTGTGTAAATTAATTTACTTTAAAATATATTAATTGCCTTAGAGTATTTATAGTTCGTGAGACTTTAAATGCATAGTGCTTTGATGCACCCAAAACACAAAAACAAACGAGTTTCTGGATTACCCAAAAGATTCCTAGTCTCAACGAATTCGGATAATCAAGTTTTCACTATATATGTAAAGTTTAATATAATCGATTCCATAACTGATTATTTAATTCTATACGATGCATCTCTTTTTTTTTTTCACTCTTTTCACCCGTGATGGTCATAGAAGGCCCTCTTGGCTTTCTGTGGCCATCACGGGTTAGACAGGCTCTACAATGGGAGTTTGGCCGGATGATGAGGAACTGGGCTTACCGTATCCGGAAAATATCTTCCGTAAAAATTCTTGTAGTTTTCGTAACTCCCGGATTCGATCTAGGCTTCTCAGAGTCTACGGTAGTAGGACGCTTTAACTTTAACCACCTCGGTCGCGCTGTTCAAATCGATCATTTTATAAAACATATTCCGGCAAATATATATAATCAGATAAAATAATTTAAAAACATTTAAATAAGTCGAATATCAAATTCAATACAAAATTTCAAATGTTACATTTTTACAAAATCCAGTTAAGGCACGCAATGAATGTTGATATATGTTGCTTCCAGACGATGAGTAGAAACGACGTATGGACTGTGCCTAATACCGAACGTGTACCTAGGAGCACTTTTCTTGTTAATCCAAACCTTAATAAAAATATTATCATTGTAAATTCGTCGAAAGACAAAAATATTTTTTGAAAAATTATAAAAAGTTTCATAAAATGTACTTAAAACTATACAGTTAGAAAATTCTAAGAAAGTTTGTGATAAAATTCCAACATCTTAATACTTTTAAGCATCTTATTTTTTAGGAAAGATATTTTAACCTGTGTATGCATTAGAGGTATTCGTAAAACTCAACTGATCGTCATCAGTCTCCTGATGACGATCAGTTGTGACAATGTTAGATGTTGCATTGTTAGCGACTTAACATAAAGTTAATGAATCGGTTTATTTGACAGTTAGGGTGCGACTAAGCAGGCGCAAGCGAGCGAATTTTCCAAGCGAGCGAGAATATATGGAGAGGCGAGAAGCGATAAATATCATAACCTGTCAAATATGTGCGAGAACCAGAAATTCGCTCTCGCCAGCGTTATTTCTCGCTTCTCGTTTGTGCATGGTTTTCCTTTGCGAAAACTAAATCGCTCGCAACCTCTTGCTCGCTCTAAATTCGCGTCTGCATAGTCGCACCCTTATCGAGCTGATTGGATCGAAGGTTAAATCTCAGACGTCCCGATTTGAGCGAATCATTCTCGAGTTGCATAGCTAATCCCCGCGCTTCAAACATCCCATTGTTTGAAATGCAGGAAGATAGAGGTGGTCACTGGTCATATCTCCAGAGGAATCGGACTTAATGACGATTTTACTTGTTATTATCATTTACAATTTGGTTTTTTATAATATAAAACTCATCTCCATCCTCAAAAGTAAGCGTTTTGCCATTTTATAATATTTAATAATATAAAAAGTTTTTTTAATGAAATATCATAACAGATGGTACTACACTCAATTTTAAATTCCTTTGCTGAAAAACTCGTTGCTGAATGTTTTTTCTAAGGACATAATAAACGGTAACATCTTCCTAAATACGATGCTAATCTTTTCAGTGCCCCAACTAGTTTCTGATAGAATTATCGACACTATTTTGTTTCAACAAGATGGGGCACTACCATTTTGCAGCAGTTGTCTGGACTTCCGGCATGAAACTTTTCGGATAGGAAGAAGTTCAGTCAGATTTTTGGCTCCAAGTTCAAACCTCTAGATTTTTTTGATAAGGATTTTATTAAATCAGAGGTGTATGACGTTAAGATTAACAGCATTAATCAACTGAAGGGAAGGATTACAGCTGCAGTGATTAAGATGACACCTGATATCTTAAAATAAGTATACTGCGCTACCACTGTACATTGAGATGTGTTGACATGCAAGGGAGTCATGTTGAATGTATTGATTTTTTGCTTCTTATTTACACCACGACGAAAGTTATTAAAATATTTTTCCAGAAATAGTTACTTTATAAACACTCTGTATTTATAATTGTCGTCTTAGATGCTTTAAAATTAATATTTATATAGTCATCATTATACAGATGTGTTTACAATATTNTATGGTAAAATCTCATAACAGATGGCACCACACACAATGTTATTCATTATAATTAAAAATATAAAAGTTATTTTTAAACAAAATCTCATAATAGCGAGGAAATTACGCAAATCGCTACTGGATTTTTCTTTGAAATATATAATTTTTTGGCTGAGATGAGCTAATTTTTGTGGCATTGTAAAAAATTGTCAAGAACGAAATATTTTAGGCAGCACTTTTCGTCATTCTTCTGTTTTTAACAAATAAAAGTACAAATGTAAATTTATATATACAGTAAACATATAGTTTTACTACTCGGTGCGTTTTATTTCGGTTACAAGTAGGATGTGGTGTCAGTTAAATAGAACTTTAAAACGTTTTCCCTATTAACTATAAAATTTATTTCGTATTGTTAATTTTACAGGTTTTGTAATGCACAGATAGGTGAGTAATACTTACGCGAAGCTTTCAAGTTAATCAAAAACATTAATTAATTAATTAATTAATTAAAATCATAATTGCGTCGTTGAATTACAACTTTAATCAACGAGCTTACTATGTTTCTTCCACGCTCAAGAAGGCGACTTCCGTTTTGCGCGAACATATACTGGCTTCAGTTAATTTCAGGCCGCCGCTCCAGTATTATAGCTCCATGAACACATTTGGGTGATCTGCTAAGAGTGAGGTGCCTCTCGGGAGGACTGGTTTCTATAAAATGTCTTACATCTAAATAGAAACTGGTTTCTATTTAGATGTAAAACACGTGAAGAACAACCAGAAAACTCCACATGGCCAGCCCGTTAGTCAGGCGCGAACCCACGATCACTGGCCATGGCCACATATATACCGTTTGCGGTCTGAATTATTTTACAGTAACTTATTTTAATTACCTCATATATTTGTGGTTATTAATTCAAACTAAACATATTAAAAGTTTTCGAAATTTTAGAAATTTCTCAGAATTTTGGGCAAAACTTGTTTATAATTATGTTTAAAACGTTTTGCGCAAAGTACAAATTTTTGATATTTTTATTCTTTTAAAATATTTGTTTCAACTGTTTTCATACGATGTGTTACGAAACAATTTGATCTATATGAGTGACATTATTGTATTTTAGAACTGAAATACAGATAAATTATTTTTAAGGTCGTTCTCAAAACGATAATATATTGTTTTTTATCACAGTTTCGTGCAAATAATTATTACTTATGCTTATTACTATTACATTATTCGTTACAAACGGAGTTTTATAGCTGGCTATTATAGGCAGACTGTCTGCAAACGTGTTTAATCTTAGTAACATTTCGTTTTATTCATTCAAAACTCCACCTAAACTTGGCTTCTACTAATTTCACTTCAACTTTGCGAGATTACTAAATATCACAGTTTCTTTTCCATTAGCACAGTATTGTGCTTCATTCTTTTCACACTTTATCATCCATTTCGCTTTAACAAATACAATGAGTTTACTTTAGTTTTATTTTTACTTTATCTCGACTGTTATTTTAAACTAAAGAATGGCAATCTTATACTAATCAATAAAATATATTGCCGTGTTACTCAGATACATCGCGTTAGTCTGTCTTACACTAAAAGAATAATTCATTTAGAAAAAAAGTATACCTATAATAAAAGTATAATGTAGCTATTATTTTTAGTATAGATTCTAGATTTTCCTTTAATATTCTTCAGTATATACCGAATTGGATGTATCTGGATAAACATCAATGTTCTTAATTAATCCTAAGTATCGAATTGCTGCTGTAAAGCCATACAGTACATACAGTTAATTTCCTGTTGTTACTGTAAACATCATTCGAGGTAAAAAATAATGATGTCTGTTAAGAACAGAATTCACTCACTTTGCACGAGATTGTTTTTATTAATCTTAGCTTAAAGAATTTCTTTGTTCTCAGTTTTATCCTATTGGCTTTATTTTGGCACAATACTATACAAATTTATTTTGCACTTCGTTGCTGATTGAGTATTTAATTGTATCAAATTGCATACATTAATATTTTCAATATTTTATGCAAGTATTCCACTTTGTATTACATCAAATGGTAAATATAAGATGGAAATTCTGTAACAATATTTAAAAATTTATTCAGGCTATGTGTAAAACATTAGTTAGTGTATTATATAAAATGCCGCAGACCTATAATAAGAATACAGAGTTCAAAAAATACACTGTATGTACTCGTAGTTCAATGCAATGGAAATTTACTAAAAAATCATGTGGTTTTTCCAGCACTAAACTCTTCTAGATTTATTTCTCATTTTGAATAAATAACCTTTTTACTAAATAATAAAAATCATAATTTAGTATTTAAAATAATACTGAAATTGAGACTTCCTATATGATAAAAATTTATTTAGAATTCTTAATTATCGTTTTTAACCAGACATTAAAGATGAAATGTAAAAAATGATATTTTGTGAGTAAATAAATATTGAATAAACAAATATTTACAATAAAATGTCTTTTGACGAATAATGATTAGGCCTATATTTTTTCAGAAAATGCGCCTTCAAGAAAGAATAATCTTTGCATGACAATTTTCTTAAATATTGCATTTTCCTTATCATTGGCATCGTCAATGTTGATGAATAGTATACAAACTAACTTGTAAGTGTTCATTTCTTTGAAGATGGTATGAAGCTGTCATCAAGATAGCTTAATTAATAGTGTAATAACCTGTCTTATCTTATCATCATTTGTATTGCGAGTCTATAAAATCTTTAATAGCAATTCTTCTTGTTTTTAGTTAATCTGTTTCAGATAATGGTGTATCTAAAATTGAAACATGATACATATAAATGAAATAATATATAAGTTACTATACTCTAATATTGTAATTATAATGTTATAATAAAAATTGCTTGTAAAGAGATTATCTTTAATTTTTGTTTGGTGTCTTCAGGTATTTTCCACGTAAATTTTTCTAATTTTGAATTTAACTAACTTGAATGTTTTGACTTCCAACAAATAAAAAATTTTCTAAAATGCTGAATTAAAATATTATAGAAAAACTAAATTAAGCATGTAGTTATTAAATATTCGCATTTCTTTTTGAACTCGCCTATTTACAAAATATGTAGTCTAATGTTAATATATGTTGGCATATACCAGTTTTACGGTTCACATTGGCTCTGAATCAATATTTTAATTTTTACGAAGAATTAACAACACATTTAAAGATTATTAAGTACTAACTTTCGATTCTGATATATTCTTTGCGCATTTGCAATACAAAACTGAACATTTTGCCTTAATTACAGTTAATTAAACTCAGTTAAATTGATTTTCTTCTATTATAGTCAACTAAGTCTATCTTACAATTTTTGTAATAACTCAGGATGTATTTCTTCATAATTCGAAGTTTAGACTATTTACAAAAAGTCAAAATAGAGCCAGAAGTAGTTTAAAAAGGTATAGAGGGCCAGAAGCAGTTTAAAAAGGTGGATAAAAATGAAAAGGGTGAAGAATTTCTTTGTGTTTTTAATTATAAAAGTGTCAGAAACCTACAAGAAAAGGCTGACACTTGATCTTTTTTAATCTTGTGAAGTTTTTTTTACCAATTTTTAACTGTGTTTAAGAAGAGTTCTTCAAAGCAAGTTTTTTAAGACTGTTACTTCTGTGGTAGTGTATAAAGGATAAAGATAGACTCAAAAGTTATTTTGACTTTTTGTAAATAGTCTAAACTGCGAATTATAAGTCTATCTTATTAATAGGACATTTACAAAACTCTTTATTTTTCACCTGTTGTTCCTGTCACAGGAACAACAGGTGAAAAATAAAGAGTTTTTTTAAGAACTTTAAAAACTCATACTTATTGCAAATAACTATCACACCACCGTAAATGTCCTATTAATAAGATAGGTCTTAGTTGATTATAATAGAATAAAACAAGAGATAAAGACGTAAAGGCAACTAAATTAATCAGTTAAATTGATTTTGTAAAAAAATTACTACAGATAATCATTATCACCCAAACTATCGTTACTCATAGCTACAACAAATTACTATTTATTTACATACATTTCATATTGTTATAGATTTTTATACAAATAGTAAGAAAACGAAAAGGTTACTACGATATAATTTACATTATATAAATTGCCTGTAAAAGAAGTTATATTAATTAATTAATAGGGAAAGCTATTTTGTACTGCTTCTCAATTATTATATTATCACTAAGAAGTACTTTATATTAATGTATTTTTTAAGTAACCGAGTGATCGAGAAGATTAAGGCTGTCGATCCGGGGCAGGGGATTGAATTCGGGAAAGCAACCCAGGAATTTTTCATGGCGGTCTGTCCCTGATATGTAGGGCCCCTTCCTATTGTATCCATTGTGAGGTTGGTCGAAACCACGATGGGTAGTGCCTACCAATGGCCGAGTGAATAAAACCACCGAACTCTGGTAGTTGGTAGAGGGTTTGCGCCAACCAACGGGCTGGCAGTATGGAATTTTCCGAATTTTCTTCACTATCTAACACTTAAATAAGAGTTAGTTTTTGATAGAAAGTCCTCCCAGAAGGCACTCCTTTGGTAGATCGATCACGTGCTGCCTTGCCTTAGCCGAGCATTCTATTTTCGAACAGATTATTTTTGTCTATTTAATTTGTTCTTAAGAATTCAAACAGATTATTTCTGTTTTTCAACGGCACACAAAGACAGGTTATTTCTGTCTTGTGTGCCATTAGAAACCAACCAGTGGCTCTTTATCAGCGCTGAAATCTTCAACATTATTCACAAATTTTTTCTAGCCTAATCCAAGATAGAAGAATGTGCAAATAATATAAATTATTATTATTTTTACTTTAAAATTAAGTAATGATTCAATTTTATAAATATTAAATAATATATCTAACATGTATAACTTAATTAAAAATATAAGCTATGTATTTATAAATATATAAATATGTAAATATCTATCAATATTTGTGTTTCAGTATCTTAAAATAAAATTTCGGTAATAAATTGAATAATTTGAAATTTTGTAATAAAACTTTAAATTAATATACCTTTTCGGGAGAATAAGCACCAGGACCTGGAGTGTCATTAGTATTGTTGAAAGGAATCCTTTCTCGCATACTGAAAGATGGCGATTTCAATTTATATGTATCGGGATGTGGAAGATAATATGAACCTGGACCTGGAGTCTGAAAATAAATAAATCAATCTCATTTTAAAAAATTTTTATTGGTTTTAAAAGGATGGAATTAATTAAATAAAATGTGGATAAAATAGAATAATACCGTAATAAATTAACAATTATTTGTCATTGAGTTAATTTTAATAGGAAAGGTAAATTAGAATGAAACTCAAACTTTAGATAGAAATTTCTATTCGACTTAAATTACAGTAGGGTGATCGGTTAACGAACATAATCCGTTCGCTAACCGATTATCGATTTACCATAGGTTTTATGGGAATTTGATTAATTCGTTCTGGAGACCCCCCAAAAATAAAAATTATATATTTTCTTACTACATTTATTTATATATAATAATAAAAATACATATATACACAGTCTTGCATTTTTATTAGTCATGTTTTTTCCGTTTGTGGGGGTTAAAGAATCTGTCTAATGTCGATTGCTTTTCTCTCTTCAAGATTTTTCACAAGTAATTAATAGCATTGTAATTGTAGAGATCCCTAAGCCTATTAACCTCAACTTGGTTTGGATTCTCTTTCAGAAGAAAACATATCTCGCTGAGTTTCTTGGTGTTCTTCTTTCAAGAGTTTTTGGCATTTTTCTGTCGTCAGATTCGTTTCAGGTTCCATTATGAGCTCTTCAATGTTTTTTATTTCTCAGATGTGATTTTTGTTACTCCTTAAGCTGCTTGAGTCTTCTTGATAATACAGTATCTTTCTTAAGATTGAACTTCGGCCTACTGTAGACCTGTTCAAGCCATACTGCCCAGCAACAACAGATACCAGACATCTGCCCACTCTCTTTGCTATTATACTCTCACCTTTCGAAAATAAAAACCGACGCAAAACTTAACGAGTGCACGCCCGACAGTCTCGCGAATACTGTAAAAGAATTGTTTCTGTCAGAAAAATAAACGGCTGGAATTACAAGGAAGAGTTTCAAACTTCGGAGGAATACTATCCGATCAGTATATACCGAGTTGAGCGTTGATGTCGATGTCTCCCGCGCTCCAAAAAGTTTCGAATTGTTGTCCGAAGACGAGGGAAGACCAATCGGTATTCATTATTTTACGTCGCTTCTTATTGAGTTTGTTCTGTGAAGTGTTCGTTATCCGATCATGTGTTCGTTGTCCGAACATAAAAATCTTTAGCGAAAGTGTTCGTTATTCAATTTGTTCGTTAACCGATCACCCACTGTATATATATTTGAGTACTTTATGTATCAAGTCATCAAAAGATCTCATTGTTGATTTATAATCTTTTGTTATATATATTTGAAAGTAAATTATTATTTTTGAAATAAATAAATTTGATCAAGTTTATATTTTATAATGATAAAATATTTCATTCAGCATTTGTTATTAATCAGAACTTTATGTAATACTTATTTATAATCTCTTCCTTTTTTAACACATCAGAAGTTAATTTAACGTTACTCAAAGATACTCATCGACAATGAACTACAGGTATATAATAGCTATACACAAATGTTTCAAAGACTTATAATAAAAGCACAGGTTATTTATTTAATTGTATGATTGTATTAAAAGTAATTTTGTTTCCATTCATTTCCAAATTCCATTGTTGTGTACAAAATTAATCTAAGACAAGAATGACAAATATTTTCCGGAAGTAGGCCAAATATAAGTAACTGAGAAATTGTTCAAGGTCCACACGGCAAAATATTTGAAGGGCCATTCGACATTCTACATTGATAGGACATCGATAACAATAGCAAGGTTATCTCGATCTCGCTATTATTATCGATGCCATTGAGTAGCATAATCGATTTGTTTAAAAATGGTTTTTTTTCAGTCTTAAACACTTCTCTGAAAAGATTTCTAAATCTTTAAAATTGCATTAAATCTGAAAAATAACTGGAAAAAAATATATCAATTTCAAGAAAGTTTAATACAAGAAACACAGCGCTATAGTCTATGTATAATTATAATAGTACTGTAATTAGTTTTTGGCAATAATAAATAATCCTATTAATAAATTAGCTCAAGCATTTTGATCAATTAAAAATTGAACTGATACAGAATACAATCGATTTTTAAATTTCTGTAATGAAAATAGTTGTTACCCAAAATATTTGTTATGTAAAACTATTAATTTTTTAAACTTTACTTTTTTTAGACTATAAATTGAAAATATAGAAACAAGACACTAAAATTTTTACTGGAAAATTTTTAGGAACACTAAAATATTGATTCTATTATACAGCAATTCTAATAACCGGAACGCAAAAGTATATTACCTATAGGAGGAAAAATAAAAACAATGATATAGAGAACGATTTTACAGTTATCAAATGAACAAAATTAACTGAATGCTACAAAATCTTCAAAATTTGATTATGTTGAAAATGTGTTAAATAATTATTTAAATATTCATTTATTTTCGCTTGTTTTGAATTCACATTACATAGTATAAATCATAATCGCCTGCCTCGAAAATGACACAAAAATATCTGAAATTCATTTAAATCTAATAACCGAAAGTATGATTCCAGTAAACGACTAAAATTTATTTAACTTATTTATTGTGACATCGTCACAGTGCCGGGCTGTAATTTTTAATCATATTTTTAATTTATTTAATTTAAAATATATGATCTCCACCTCAAATTAATAGTGGATTGCCCCTGAATATCATACTTTTTCTTTAACAATAGAGTTATGCCGATCATCTATCTAACACCTTTCAGGAGAAAATTTTAAATTGAAATAACATGATTTCCGATTTGCATCGGAAGTTTATTTGTTTATTTATAGTTAATCGGGTCCTTCTGCTCCTAAGATTTTCATATCTGGTCTCGACTTTCATCTACCTAAATTTTTTATTGAGATTAAGGAACGATAGACGAACGGATGGACGACAGTGGGAATTAATAGGTCTACAAATTAAAAGAATAAAAATCGTAATACGTACAGTGCTTGCTGTTGAAGCACGAACAATAACGTGGTCAATAGTAATTTTCGTAAAACGGTTTGATCTTATAATTAGTGTGGTTACTTTCTCACAGTTGTCTCAGCTGATTTCACGAAGACACACGAAGTCATTCAAACAGTTAAACGAAATCGCTCGAAATATATCAATCGTGAAGTAAATAAGAAAATAAAGAAATGCTGGACATTTAAATGTTTCGACAGAGGTTGTAGAAGAACGGAACATCTGATTATCCTACCTTAGACTGACAAAAATCAAAAGAAGTTTATATTTATTTTCCGGGGTATTGTATAAAATAATAGGCTAGAGATTCTCAATAAATCTGCCGTAAAACATAATAGAGGCAGACATATTTTTAACTGAATATCATGCGACATTTAAAGGTGACAAGATAATCTTGATTATTGTTGATGATAATTAAGGAAGTTGTAATAATTCGATGCTAGGTAGTAGTATAACATATAATGGATTACATCGGTGGAACGGACCAATGGTGAACTTCTGCTTCTACTTTTTTATGTTAATTCAAAAAAATAATTAATAGATGAAAAGACTTTGATTTCTATGAAAACTAATATAAAGAAATTCGTATTTTTTTATTAACAAACTTATCTCAAAGTTTTTTTATAATCCATTGTTTAATCAAACATTAATCAGAAAATTTTTATGATGCGTGTATTTTTATGAGCATTAGCTTATGAAATTGTTTTTAATTACTGATCTATATAAATATGCAGAATCTACATAGATTAAGTGTTATTTGTGTACAGAAACAATTAAGGCTGCTTCACACTAAATATCTGTTCAGCACAGCACATTCCAGTAAAAGAGTTGCCTTAGCAACAAGTGTTGTCGGACAGCAAATTCATTTGCCGCATCATATAGCAACAGAGTGTAGTGAGTTTGCTGTATTGAAAGCGTACTGTTATCTAGTAGCCAATAAAACAGCAACATTTGGAGAAAGTCGCTTATACAGTAACAAATGCAGCAACGAATCAAAACTTTGCTGTACAGGAAAGTTTTTGAAAACATAGTGTGTAGGCGAAACGTTAATAGCACTTGTTAAAGAAAGTGAATACATCTACAGTCGAAAACTAAAGAAATAGGATAAAATATCAAATTAACAATGCTCCGAAAAATATAAAAGCAACGAAAGCTTTTGTTATATTTAGCTTTTATTAAGTAAGTGCTTTTGATCGAACGTTTCATTTTTTTTTTTTTTTTTGCATTTCCTCGTTGGCTATTCTATTCACGTATCAAACAGCTTATAACAGTAATGTGAGAGCTAAATATTGTCCAGTATCCAGTAATGTCTTGTACCGGAATGTACTGTGCTAGACAAATATGTATAGCGTGACACGGCCTTTAGATCTTAAAGTAGGAAGGGATATTTTTATTACAACTTTATTATCCAGAAATCCGAATGAATTTATTAAACTGCCTAATTTCTTTAATTACAATAAGTTCTCCCAATAATTATATTTTCTTACTTTTTCAGTTTTCCGTATTCAAACATTTCACTTAACTGTCATTTTTCATATAATTATAAATTCTAAGGAAGTACAAAGATGGCCTTATATCCGAGGCGGTCAAGATGTTAAGATATAGGCTACATCATAAAATGGAAATCAATAAATAGTTAACATTTCACCAATACCCTATGTTTTATTACTCAACACTTCGGCATTCCCAATTATAAACTGTAAATCATTTATCAGTTTTACTTTGAACAATACTTATTGAATTTGAATTCCAAACAGTTATTTAAATAATTTTAATGTAACTTAACATGTAACTATTAAAATAATAATCATATGCCACGTTAAAATATTTCAGTAATGCACTGTGCATACAACATAAATATCGAATGTATTCAAGCGTGTGTTCTCGTAAATTGCTATCATTATTATTTTTTAAACTTTTAAGATCAGTTCATTGATATTTAAGTCAATCTTCCCAATACTTCCCAATCCAGAATTTTTCTATTAAATAGTTTTTGTAATTATATTAACGAAATTCAAAACCTGCCTGCAAATATCAATTCTTTGATATTGCTAATATTCGTTTTATTTTTTTTTCAAATAACATATAATAATATATCAAAGATATTACAACAGTTATTATTCAAAGATAACTTTAAGTATAATATCTTCATGAAGACAAAAATCTTTATCTTCGATATAACTGAAAATATTTGTTTTATTAAATAAGACCCAATCTAAATAATATAATACCTTCTCTTATAAGTTATATCTATTTATATTTTTGATTACTTTAAAATTATTTAATTAATATTTTTAGAATTACAATTTATAAATAATATACATAAACTTGCTGTTTTATCGAATGATCACATATTAGTTAAACACTGCATGATAAGAGAAGATCGAAAGCTTGTTTCTTTCATCTAGAAAATGTACACTATTACGTCAGTTTGACGTCATTTTAAATTTGTTCATTGTAAAACTCAAGAGGTGACGTCAAATTGACGTTCAACTGTACACTTTCTGGACAAAAGGAAGATTCAAATTATTAATTGATTTTGGTGAAGATCATTTCTTTTATTTAAAATTGCTAACGTTTTAGCAGTTGAAAATAAAATCAAATGTTGTGTAGTTATTTATAGGAGTAAATAATATAAAATTACGTAAATATTTATTAAATGAATTTATCGTGCATGGATAGAAAATTCCGGTTTTTACTACATTAAATGACAAATCATTTGTCTACAATAAATTCAATTAATATTGTGAAATAATTAAAAAAATAATAATAATAAATTTTTGTTTGAAAGTCCAAAAATTCTAATCTGATCTAAATTGTTACTTGCAAACATTTAATATATAATTGACATATAAGTCACTTTAATTATTACACGATTATTTACGTCATTTGATATTATCGTGGAATGAAGGTTTCGTTTACAATTCGAGAAATCTGATTCTACTCCTGTATATTAAGTTATTTTTATTTCTTTGTCAGATAATTTTCCTTGAATATAAAGCATGTCTGAAGATAAAATAATTAACAATTATTGTCATTTGAAATTTACTAAATAATTCAACTCTATTAAAGTATTTAATCTGTGATATTTAAAAACTTAAATATACAAATGAATTTCGGTTGGTTTTATGATTTTAAGACATAATGATGTCAAATAATTAAAGAATTTTTAATCGAAAAAATTTTCAATAATTAATATAATTATTACATGATATTTTAGATTAATTTCATTCTTAATTAAATACTAAGTAAATCTGTTATGATTTACTATACCAATGCATAAAATAAACTATTGCGAACGGATATAGAGCTTCGAACGTATCAATAGCTTATATAATTAAACTTACAATTACAACAGGAGAAAGAAACGTCTTATTAAAATAAGTAAATGATATCGTAAAATGAGCTCCAATTTTAAAAAATTCCAATAAACTATAAAAAATTTTTTATTTCATAATAACGAAATAGTTCCATAGTCGACGAAGTGACATCTCACAACGCGCCTTATAGGCTTTTCTTATAGGCTTGCAGAAAGAAAAGGCCCGTTGTGAGATGTCACTTATTCGACTATGAAACCATTTCGTTATTATAAATTTAGTTTTTTACTTTAGTTTTTATAGTTTAATGGAATTTTTTAAATTAAGTGAATGAAACTATTGTATTATCTTTAAAAAAACAATCTAGTTCGTCCAAAATTTATTGTCAAAACGAAATATTAATATCAAAATTAATTTAAAATACAGTACTTTAAAATTTAATAACTGATGCAACATTTGAGACAATATATAGGCTATAAGTTATGTATTTTCAGCAACTGATAAACTAGTCAAGAATTAAGAAATGACATAAAATTTAGAGATACATTAATATTAAATTCGTATATTATCTTCAGTTTCAACAAACAATATTGACGCTTTAAAACATAGATAATTATATATATTATATTTTTTTAAAAATGAAAATTTTTTTTGTTATTGATCTACCGATAACCGATTTATATTGATACTCATCTAGAAAATAACAAGAAATTGATTTTTATTAATCTATCTTTTCACTGATTTTTCCATAAATAATGCTAGAAATAATGCTGTTAACGAAATACATAACTTATTATATAAAATTAAAACAAATTAAAGCGCACCTCATCTATAAGTTCTGTCATTCGCTTTATCTATTGAAGCCCGGTCCCGAAAAACTTATCGAAATTAATCTATAATGCAGAAATAAAAATAAATAGCTTAGAAAAATATAATCAATAAAATTAAAAGAATAACGCTAAAATATTTCTATTAATTTAATAAAGAAGCAAACCTGAATATCTCAAATTTTCAGCCCACTCGAAATAACATTCAATACTTTACATCTGACAATCTGATCCTTGCAACTAACAGGATATGTAGCTTAAAACAGGTTCCTTCCTGTTGGCGATCTTGCAGATCGAGTTATGTCATTGACCCATATCCTTTTTATCTGACAGAGAAGTATTTTATATGTGTACAATGTTTATACACAATACAACTCTATTTTATAAATTATATAATTTTGGTGTTTAAAATCATCTCTGACATCCTGTTCGTAGGTCTGTTTCGTAACGAGAACACAGGGGGAATCTTTTGTCGGTTCCCAATAAATTAATTCGAAATATAGCTGTATTAAGCAGAAGATTCATCTTAAACATTGTATTGTAGGAAAAATTATAGAATTTTATCAACTTAAATTCAGAGTAATATAGTAATATATATATATATATTATGTTACATATTAATGTTTTCAACCAAAAATGTATNATTTATTTATATATAATAATAAAAATACATATATACACAGTCTTGCATTTTTATTAGTCATGTTTTTTCCGTTTGTGGGGGTTAAAGAATCTGTCTAATGTCGATTGCTTTTCTCTCTTCAAGATTTTTCACAAGTAATTAATAGCATTGTAATTGTAGAGATCCCTAAGCCTATTAACCTCAACTTGGTTTGGATTCTCTTTCAGAAGAAAACATATCTCGCTGAGTTTCTTGGTGTTCTTCTTTCAAGAGTTTTTGGCATTTTTCTGTCGTCAGATTCGTTTCAGGTTCCATTATGAGCTCTTCAATGTTTTTTATTTCTCAGATGTGATTTTTGTTACTCCTTAAGCTGCTTGAGTCTTCTTGATAATACAGTATCTTTCTTAAGATTGAACTTCGGCCTACTGTAGACCTGTTCAAGCCATACTGCCCAGCAACAACAGATACCAGACATCTGCCCACTCTCTTTGCTATTATACTCTCACCTTTCGAAAATAAAAACCGACGCAAAACTTAACGAGTGCACGCCCGACAGTCTCGCGAATACTGTAAAAGAATTGTTTCTGTCAGAAAAATAAACGGCTGGAATTACAAGGAAGAGTTTCAAACTTCGGAGGAATACTATCCGATCAGTATATACCGAGTTGAGCGTTGATGTCGATGTCTCCCGCGCTCCAAAAAGTTTCGAATTGTTGTCCGAAGACGAGGGAAGACCAATCGGTATTCATTATTTTACGTCGCTTCTTATTGAGTTTGTTCTGTGAAGTGTTCGTTATCCGATCATGTGTTCGTTGTCCGAACATAAAAATCTTTAGCGAAAGTGTTCGTTATTCAATTTGTTCGTTAACCGATCACCCACTGTATATATATTTGAGTACTTTATGTATCAAGTCATCAAAAGATCTCATTGTTGATTTATAATCTTTTGTTATATATATTTGAAAGTAAATTATTATTTTTGAAATAAATAAATTTGATCAAGTTTATATTTTATAATGATAAAATATTTCATTCAGCATTTGTTATTAATCAGAACTTTATGTAATACTTATTTATAATCTCTTCCTTTTTTAACACATCAGAAGTTAATTTAACGTTACTCAAAGATACTCATCGACAATGAACTACAGGTATATAATAGCTATACACAAATGTTTCAAAGACTTATAATAAAAGCACAGGTTATTTATTTAATTGTATGATTGTATTAAAAGTAATTTTGTTTCCATTCATTTCCAAATTCCATTGTTGTGTACAAAATTAATCTAAGACAAGAATGACAAATATTTTCCGGAAGTAGGCCAAATATAAGTAACTGAGAAATTGTTCAAGGTCCACACGGCAAAATATTTGAAGGGCCATTCGACATTCTACATTGATAGGACATCGATAACAATAGCAAGGTTATCTCGATCTCGCTATTATTATCGATGCCATTGAGTAGCATAATCGATTTGTTTAAAAATGGTTTTTTTTCAGTCTTAAACACTTCTCTGAAAAGATTTCTAAATCTTTAAAATTGCATTAAATCTGAAAAATAACTGGAAAAAAATATATCAATTTCAAGAAAGTTTAATACAAGAAACACAGCGCTATAGTCTATGTATAATTATAATAGTACTGTAATTAGTTTTTGGCAATAATAAATAATCCTATTAATAAATTAGCTCAAGCATTTTGATCAATTAAAAATTGAACTGATACAGAATACAATCGATTTTTAAATTTCTGTAATGAAAATAGTTGTTACCCAAAATATTTGTTATGTAAAACTATTAATTTTTTAAACTTTACTTTTTTTAGACTATAAATTGAAAATATAGAAACAAGACACTAAAATTTTTACTGGAAAATTTTTAGGAACACTAAAATATTGATTCTATTATACAGCAATTCTAATAACCGGAACGCAAAAGTATATTACCTATAGGAGGAAAAATAAAAACAATGATATAGAGAACGATTTTACAGTTATCAAATGAACAAAATTAACTGAATGCTACAAAATCTTCAAAATTTGATTATGTTGAAAATGTGTTAAATAATTATTTAAATATTCATTTATTTTCGCTTGTTTTGAATTCACATTACATAGTATAAATCATAATCGCCTGCCTCGAAAATGACACAAAAATATCTGAAATTCATTTAAATCTAATAACCGAAAGTATGATTCCAGTAAACGACTAAAATTTATTTAACTTATTTATTGTGACATCGTCACAGTGCCGGGCTGTAATTTTTAATCATATTTTTAATTTATTTAATTTAAAATATATGATCTCCACCTCAAATTAATAGTGGATTGCCCCTGAATATCATACTTTTTCTTTAACAATAGAGTTATGCCGATCATCTATCTAACACCTTTCAGGAGAAAATTTTAAATTGAAATAACATGATTTCCGATTTGCATCGGAAGTTTATTTGTTTATTTATAGTTAATCGGGTCCTTCTGCTCCTAAGATTTTCATATCTGGTCTCGACTTTCATCTACCTAAATTTTTTATTGAGATTAAGGAACGATAGACGAACGGATGGACGACAGTGGGAATTAATAGGTCTACAAATTAAAAGAATAAAAATCGTAATACGTACAGTGCTTGCTGTTGAAGCACGAACAATAACGTGGTCAATAGTAATTTTCGTAAAACGGTTTGATCTTGTAATTAGTGTGGTTACTTTCTCACAGTTGTCTCAGCTGATTTCACGAAGACACACGAAGTCATTCAAACAGTTAAACGAAATCGCTCGAAATATATCAATCGTGAAGTAAATAAGAAAATAAAGAAATGCTGGACATTTAAATGTTTCGACAGAGGTTGTAGAAGAACGGAACATCTGATTATCCTACCTTAGACTGACAAAAATCAAAAGAAGTTTATATTTATTTTCCGGGGTATTGTATAAAATAATAGGCTAGAGATTCTCAATAAATCTGCCGTAAAACATAATAGAGGCAGACATATTTTTAACTGAATATCATGCGACATTTAAAGGTGACAAGATAATCTTGATTATTGTTGATGATAATTAAGGAAGTTGTAATAATTCGATGCTAGGTAGTAGTATAACATATAATGGATTACATCGGTGGAACGGACCAATGGTGAACTTCTGCTTCTACTTTTTTATGTTAATTCAAAAAAATAATTAATAGATGAAAAGACTTTGATTTCTATGAAAACTAATATAAAGAAATTCGTATTTTTTTATTAACAAACTTATCTCAAAGTTTTTTTATAATCCATTGTTTAATCAAACATTAATCAGAAAATTTTTATGATGCGTGTATTTTTATGAGCATTAGCTTATGAAATTGTTTTTAATTACTGATCTATATAAATATGCAGAATCTACATAGATTAAGTGTTATTTGTGTACAGAAACAATTAAGGCTGCTTCACACTAAATATCTGTTCAGCACAGCACATTCCAGTAAAAGAGTTGCCTTAGCAACAAGTGTTGTCGGACAGCAAATTCATTTGCCGCATCATATAGCAACAGAGTGTAGTGAGTTTGCTGTATTGAAAGCGTACTGTTATCTAGTAGCCAATAAAACAGCAACATTTGGAGAAAGTCGCTTATACAGTAACAAATGCAGCAACGAATCAAAACTTTGCTGTACAGGAAAGTTTTTGAAAACATAGTGTGTAGGCGAAACGTTAATAGCACTTGTTAAAGAAAGTGAATACATCTACAGTCGAAAACTAAAGAAATAGGATAAAATATCAAATTAACAATGCTCCGAAAAATATAAAAGCAACGAAAGCTTTTGTTATATTTAGCTTTTATTAAGTAAGTGCTTTTGATCGAACGTTTCATTTTTTTTTTTTTTTTTTTTTGCATTTCCTCGTTGGCTATTCTATTCACGTATCAAACAGCTTATAACAGTAATGTGAGAGCTAAATATTGTCCAGTATCCAGTAATGTCTTGTACCGGAATGTACTGTGCTAGACAAATATGTATAGCGTGACACGGCCTTTAGATCTTAAAGTAGGAAGGGATATTTTTATTACAACTTTATTATCCAGAAATCCGAATGAATTTATTAAACTGCCTAATTTCTTTAATTACAATAAGTTCTCCCAATAATTATATTTTCTTACTTTTTCAGTTTTCCGTATTCAAACATTTCACTTAACTGTCATTTTTCATATAATTATAAATTCTAAGGAAGTACAAAGATGGCCTTATATCCGAGGCGGTCAAGATGTTAAGATATAGGCTACATCATAAAATGGAAATCAATAAATAGTTAACATTTCACCAATACCCTATGTTTTATTACTCAACACTTCGGCATTCCCAATTATAAACTGTAAATCATTTATCAGTTTTACTTTGAACAATACTTATTGAATTTGAATTCCAAACAGTTATTTAAATAATTTTAATGTAACTTAACATGTAACTATTAAAATAATAATCATATGCCACGTTAAAATATTTCAGTAATGCACTGTGCATACAACATAAATATCGAATGTATTCAAGCGTGTGTTCTCGTAAATTGCTATCATTATTATTTTTTAAACTTTTAAGATCAGTTCATTGATATTTAAGTCAATCTTCCCAATACTTCCCAATCCAGAATTTTTCTATTAAATAGTTTTTGTAATTATATTAACGAAATTCAAAACCTGCCTGCAAATATCAATTCTTTGATATTGCTAATATTCG